TATGATCACATCGTGCTTACCTGTGAGCCAGGAAAGTGTTCCAGTCTTTAGCGAGCAGCTGTGTTAGTTTTCCGTGATGTAACAGAAGACTTGAGTTAATCACATTTAAGAGAGGAAAAGCTTACTTGGCCTCATAGATTTGTGCGCTTTAGTGTGTCGTCAGTGGCCCATTGCTGTTGGGCTTGTCGCGAGGAAGACGTCAGGGCAAGACCAGCCGGCAAAGGAAGTCTGCCCACCGAGTGGCCACGGCATCAAAGAGCAAGAGCCAGGGGGAGAGACGCGGAGGCCTGAAGAGTCCCTTTGAGAGCTTGCTCCCAACAACCGGGAGAGCTGTCACTAAGCCCTAGCTCATCACTGGCTAACAGCGTCTGGGCTGGGGACCACACGAAGCCTGCGATCCGAGCAGCAGCCACGGCCCTGACTCCGTCTGCAGCCCTACTTCCCCTCTGCCTTGCAAAGCGATGTATCCACAAGCACTAGGCTTTAAGATGCGGGCAGCTTCCGTGCGTGTGATCCTTGTGCTTATAATGTTGATACAGGAGGGCTCATGAGTATTTGTATTTAGCCCGCTCTGCTTTGTCTTCTACGATTTTAACCTTTATCTTCATTTTCTTTCCTTTCCAGTTGCTGAAGGACATTCCTTGCTTTCACTTGGCGCTGTCACTCCCTGCCCGGAAGCTGTAGGCTTCAAACACGACGCCTTTCGGTGAGCGCTGTGCTTTCACATCTTCGCGCGCTTTGAAGTGTTCTCCTTTATCCTCGCTCTGATTTTCCTGAACGCTTTCATTGCACTTTTTTATTTCAGTGAATTTAATCTGATAATAGTTTTAGGCCAATTTTAGGCCCTTTCTCTTTTCAACCGTCCCACAACTTTCCCTGGTTTGTCCTCGGGCATTGCTGTGGGATGAGGCGGAGGCTGGTGCGGAAGACCCTGAACTTTCTAATTCTCGGTCACTTTGAAGTTTTTGTGGTCTGTGTTCTCAAAGTCTGCTGACTTTGTGGGACTTCTGTAGGTACAATTTTCCTTTTTCTGTTTGGTATCGTTTTAAAAGAAAGTTAGAAGGCTTGTGGGAAGCCTGCTGCCATTGTCTAAATGTAACCATACATTCTGCATTTTGTTTTGATTTCACAATATTGAGGAAATAGTGTATTCTATTGCATGAGTAAGTATAATGGTAGCATTTTTAAAAGCAGTTCATATTCAAATTTGTTTACTCCTTATTTAACCGATCCTGAGGCTTAAAAAAATTAGTAAGTTTTTAAAGTTAATTGTCTAGTAACACCTACCAAGTGCTTATGTATTCTTAAGTGCTATTAATCAACTTGGACCTTGCCAGACAACTATGCAGTTCAGGCTGGCCCTAAGCTCACTTTGTAGCCCAGGCTGGTCTCCTGACTCACAACGATCCTCCTGCCTCAGCCTCCTCAGTGCTGGGATTACAGGGGTGCGCTACCACACCTGGCTGTAAAAAACTTTGACACAATTCTTTTTAAACATCAGATACATTGATGCCTTGTGAGGATGTTTATTCTTTCTTTGAGAGGTGAGGTGGATATTAAAGTGTTTTGAACAAGCGGGTAACTTGCATTTTAATAGCATCACTGAGTGCCAAGTGCCGTGGTTGAAGGTGTTCTACAGGAAAGCAGGAGCACAGGACAGCAACTGCTGTAGGGACCAGCAAATGTCTGATCTTCATATCATGAAAGTGGCCATGAGGGGTGGGTGGGGTGAGACTCTGAACACACGGTGAAGGTAGAGCTCACAGGGTTTCTTGATGAGGGAGATGTGGGTTTTGAGACTGCTTTTCTCAAAGGAGAGTTCTATGGTTTGTGCCTTGACTAGATGGGGAATACCAAAGGAGCTGACTTGGACAAAAGGTGTAGAAAGTTTAGCTTCTGAATGTTAGATTGAAATGTTTATTTGGTATCATCTTGGTTACTTTTCTCTCTTTGCTAAGACAAAATACCCAACACCCAAAATTAGGAGAGGAGAGGTTTATTTAGCTCCCAGTTTGTGGAGGTGTCAGTCCATACTCAGCTGGCTCCAAGGCAGGGTGGCGTGGCACACGGGCAACACTTCAAGGTGGCGAAAGACAGCAGAAGCAGCAAGAGCAAAAGGCGGAGTGGGGGGAGCAAGCCTCTTCTCCCCCTTATATTGTATGTAGGCTCCCCGCCCCCACCATCTCCGCGCCCTCCTGTCGCACAGGATGGGGATGTTTACAAAGTGAGGACCCTGGCCCCCTGCTGAGTCCCTTAGTTAACCTTCCAAACTTCTCAAGTTGGCACAGTGTATCAACCATAATAGATATCAAAGATGAATTTCAAATAGGTGAATATATAAGTCAGAAATTCAAGAAAGAGAAATAAGGGGGTGGTGCAGACCGGAGTTTTAAATTTTGAAGTCATTAGCATATAGATGGTGTTTTAAACCCAAAAACACTGGATAGAACCATGAAAGGAGAGAGTGTACAGGGAGAGCATTCTGAAGACTGAGTTCCAGACACACGGTGTCAAGAGACGGGATGAGAAGGAAGCAGCAAAATGGACTATGAAGTAAACAGAAACCCGGTGGAGGGCGAGTCCTGGAGTCAACTCAGAAAGACGCGAGAAACTGGATGTTTCAGAGGCAGCAGTTAGGTCAAAAACAAGGACTAGAAACTGGCTATGAATTTTAATAGCTGGCAAGTCATGTATGACCTTGTCAAAGGTAGTTTCCATGCAGTAATGGAATGAAAACATTTGAGTTAGTTCAAGAGACACCAGAAAGAGAAGAATTAGCAGCAGCTAGCACTGATAACACTGAAACATTACTCACACGCTGTAACACTTTACATGCAAAGCAATTGCTGGAATGGAAATTGAAATAAAAAGTGGGCCAAAGAGTGTTCGTTTCAAGTGGGAAAAGTTACTCCAAATTTATATCCTTATAGGAATGCTCCAGGGCCGGGGATATAGCTCAGTGGCATAAGCACCTATCTAACAAGCACAAGGTCCTGAGTTCGATTCCTGGTACCAAAAAAAAAAAAAAAGAAAGAAAAAGGAATGCTCCAGTAGGGTAGGAGAAATTCATGATGCAGAAGGTAGAGAACTTACAGATCAATGACTTTGAAGGAAAGCTGACAGGGATAGGCTCTAACTTACAAACAAAAGAACAGAAACGCTAATAAGGTGTTGATACACAGGGTAAGGCAGAGAGAATGGGAAGGCTGCAGTGAGTAGCGGAACACATGGCTGATGGCACCCTCTGGGAATTCTTTGCTGACTGCTCAGCTGAGGGTATGAATGGACAGAGAGATGGAAGAGGTCAGCAGAAAAGGGAGACAGAGGCACTGAGAACGGATCTGGGATTCCAGTTTTGCCAGACAGCACCCCAAAGGAGAGGTTACATTTAGAGGGAGTAAGGTCAGTTGTCGTGGTAGTGGTAGCTCTCGAACTAAGTTCTGATGGACAAATGAGGACTCAGGCAATGAGGAATTGGGAGTTTATAATGGTAATCTTTTCAAGCATTGTGATAACTGGGTCCTACCTGCCTTCAGATATCTTATGCATTTAGTTGAAGAATGACCTTGCCATTGGATTTTTTAAAAAGTCTTCAACCTTATTTTAAGCAAACTCAAAGTTCAGCCACTGAAGTATTATATAGCTCTTACTGAAAGCAGGTAGAGGTAAGGAGCAGTCGTTGGGGTCTAGAGACTAAACAGATTACTTAAGACCAATGCAATTTGCTTACTTTTTCTAATTAATTTTTGTATAAATCTAGTCTAGAATTTTAGGACTTGGGGAAATTCCTAGGATGCTGAAAAAAGATAAGAATAAAACAAATGTTTGACATTGTGATCTCTGTTTTTACCACAGGAAAAAAATCCAGAAAATTAAGATATAATATTTTAGGTATTTGGCAGTTTTTCAAAAACAATTATTAACTGCAATAGAAAAAAATCAGTTTGCAGATCTTCAGCAGATATTTTAACTACATCTTTTAGCATAGACTATTTTTATGCAATTTTTAGCCGGAGGTATTTTGTACATAAAATTGGCATTCTGACAGAAAGTCAGTGTGGAGGAAAATGTTTTAAATCTTTTGATAGGAAACACTTTCATGAGGTTACAGGGTCATTTTTTTGTCCGCAGATGGGTTATCACTACTGTACAGAAAAGAAGAATAGAAGGAGAACATGATGCTTTTTCCAAGAAATGCCAAATATGGTGTTTTGAAATTAGATTTTAATAAAGTCACTTCCCAAATATCTTGTTCTCTGAAGCAGAAAAGACTATGGAAGAATACTGTGCTTTTGACAAACAGCAATTCCTTAGCTTTCAGAAACACAGCTAACTATTCTGTCCTGGAAAAAGAGAGGTGCACGTCGCGGGTTTACAGAACTTTCATTCTTTGGCTGTTGAAGTTAAAAAACTGACAGTGTTATCCATGCGTCTAAGACACTCTGAGCACACTTGTTGGACCGATAAATAATGACACATATGATGTGATATTCCCTCCTCTTCTGTGCAAAATTGTGAAATATTTGCTTTGAAATGAAAGTACTAGCTTTTCCTCATTATGGACAAGTCAGAATTGCTTCTCTATGTCCCGTCTGAAGGAGTTTTGAGCGCAGATCGTGAAGCACTAGATGCCATCCGTCCGATGCTCCTTTAGCTCTGAAACTATAGGAGAGCGGCAGGAAACCAAGCACGGGGACACACGCTGCTGAACTGTCCCTTCTGCAGAACCCCAGCCGGGTGCAAACAGCTGAAGACATAATGAGGTGAAGGCAGTAAACAGTAGAGGTGTGTGGTGGGTGTTCATCCTCTCTGCCATCGTTTATACTTCTGTAGTCAAGATTCAGTTCTGCCACAGTTCAGACACTCCCTGTAAACAATACTCACAATTAATGCTGCTCTAAGAGCACAGGAATTCCTTTGATGAGCTCTAAGAGACGGGTAACAGTACCTCCTAAGGGCCGTGTTGCTAGGTAACAGCTTGTTTCCTCGGTCACAGTGAATCCATGGAAGACCCCCAGAAGTGGACAGCTCGCCTGTCCCTTGGTGGGAATGTGATGAAAAATAGCTTCAGAAAAATAGCTTCATGAGTGCAAGAGGAAAGTGTTTCCACCAGCAAGCCATGTCCGAAAGGTAAGAAAATGCCATTAAAAGTAACCTTAGTCGTTGCTTGACAGCGAGGGGAGAAAGGCCAAAGAAACGTGGATAGTATTACCAGGTTAAATTTCATAAAGATGTAAAGTCATGCGACGTGCGTGACACCTGATGGCTGCGTGACAGAGCCACAAACACCCCCGCTCCCAATGACATGCAGATTGCTGCGAGCAGTGCAGTTTCTGTGATGGCTCCGGGTGAAGAGAGCTGGGCTTGCTCCGCTAACGACGGCACGTCTGTGGATACACAGGGCCTCTTTAAAATAATCTTATAAGTTTCAGGGGGAAAGTAGGTAAGACCGGCAGAAGGCAATATCTATTCATGTTAGCTAGACAGGTTTAAATGAGACTACTACGACCACACAAAAAGACAGAGGTCATTAAGGCCACAGCGCAGGTTAGGAGGCCAAAACCTAGCGTTGGTTTGCTCGCTCCTGCACGTCGTAGCTGCCCCATGAGTACTTCTCAGAGCGTGTTGATCATTAAACAACATGTAATCGTGGGGTTTGCCTTGAATTTGGAGGGGGGTACTTACTGGTGAATATCCTGGGCCTTATTTTTTTAAAAAATAAATTTACACCTTCGGCTTTTAGGACTAAGTATACTTCAGCTTCATAAAAGTATAAAACTTATAGTTTTTCCACTCACTGCCTATAGTTAGGAGAAGAAATATGGGTGGGGGGGATTAGAGGCCAAGGAGTGACAGCGTTCTATTTTCGTTAGCCAACTATATATTTCTCAAGCAATGTCCAAATATTATGTTGATTTTAATGTTAAAATCTAAACGTGTCATAATTTGGAGAAGGCTTCATGCAATACAATACTTTTTAAATGGCTAGAAGTTCTGTGCAGAATTATGAAATTCATTTTTTCTGAGTTGCTAAAAGTTTTTAAAGCACTACACTAACAAGAGGTTTATTTGCAGGCCTTGTATAAAATGAGTTTTTACTACCAATATTGCTATCAACCAGCAAACATTTATAACACAATCTAGAGACAGTGTGCAAAGTGATCCAACTCAAATCTCAGTCTTCAGAAACTACTGCTAATATCTGCTGGTTTATTGAAAGGAACAGTTAATGTGTAATTGTTTGATCAATCTCACATGCCTATGTCTGATTATCTGTGCAATTATTTTGAAGATGACACTGTGTAAGAAAACAACCATTGTTAATATCCTATCACCATGTTTGGAAATGCTGTATCATTTTTATTGCTCTCTATGCTGTTTTGTTTATACATTTGTTTTGTTATTTTGGTTTTTTTTTTTAAATGAGAAACAAAATTTATATGTATATATAAGGAGAGCTGGAATAGGTGTATTGCTGTCTGTGGTTTATTGAGAGGAGCAGTCAATGCTTAAAATTTTCTTTTTCCCTTGACCAATTTTGCACGCTTGAATCTGGTAATTAGAACGACTGATCTGAAAACGACAGTGTGCAGTATAAGAACCATTGTTGAACTCCTATCATCACTGCATCATTTCCAATGTTTTATTTTTTTACTTATTTTAATTTTTTTTTTTACTTGCTACTGTCTTTGTTTGATCAAGCTTACATTCTTATGTCTAGTGACCTGAGCAACTTCGTTGAGGATAACAGCATGTAATGTAGCAACCACTGTAAATTTTTATGATTTTGTTTTGAGGTCATGCATCATTCCTGTTGTTTTTGTGCTGTTTTGATTTTGTCTTCATTGTTGTTTTGTCAGTTTTTTAATTTTTAAAATAAAAAAGTTTGAAGGGAAAGGAAGGAAGTAGGAAGGAAATGGTGAGGAAGAAAGAGACGGGGAGCAGGAGAGGAGCGGGGGAGGGGAAAGAGGGAGGGAGGGAGGGAGGGAGAGGAGGGAGAGGAGGAGAAAGGTCTCTCAGCACCAGTGCTCTGTCAGTAACACAGCTGCACACAGCTGTACATGGTAGAGCAAGAATCTCACTCATTGACCTTCCTCGACTACAGCTGATTTCATCTGGAACTTTACAGGTCTACCGTGTTCACAAGGTCTATCTAAATCACATATTTTCTTTTAGCATCTATAATCTTCTCTGTATGCAGTTAAATGTCCAAAGTTTTCACAACACAGGGAGTAGTACAAGTCCCTCCTGTATTTATTAAAAACCTAAGTGCAGCTGTGAGTGTTGTGACAGTTAAGCTTTATACATTTCTAAGTATAATTCCTAGAGAGAGCATGGGGTGCTCAGTCCCTCTGTCTCCACTGCTTTGATAGCTGGGTATGTCTTTCCCTTTTAAAAATGTCAGCGAACTCAGTAATAGACATGAAAATTTACCAGCCTTCTCTCTTAGAGAAGGAATGTGATTTTCTTTTTCTGTACTTTAACGTGGGACATTTTGCTGTTTGTACGACTGAGCAGACGGCTGAAGCAATGAGTACATGCAAATTTTACAAAAATAAAAAGCGCGTCACATAAAATTGAAATCTGACTCAGGTTAAAGTACAAAAAGTTCTAATCGCAGTTGTATATTTTTCAAAATTAAAATTTATTGTTATATAGTAATTATATAGTAACAATCTAAGTAATTTGAGGTATGTCCGTTAAAACCCTACACTTTAGGATAACAGATACTTTTGGAATATTATTAAAACACTTTTTCAGAAGAAAATATTTCCTGGTTTCTCTTATAGGAGAAATTCACAGTATAAATAAAGAGCAAAATAAAAGACAAGGGGAAGTAGGGAGCTAGAGCCTTCCCAAAGGGGAGGGAGCGGCAGATGGGGGAGGAGGGAGCACGGGTGAAATACGGGTTAAGGTGTGTCACGAGCGCCTGCCAGCTGCACACGGGCGCAGACCCTGAGCTGGGAGGGGCGCCGAAGGGAGAGGAACGGAGGGGCTCAGGGACCGGGCGGGCGCGAGGAGGAGAACTGACGTACGTTCGGGACCCGAGCCGACGCCCCACCAGGAGTGCACACACTGGACCACACAGGCTGGCTAGTAAAAATTGCTTCCTGGAAAAGAATTCATTGATTAATTATTACGTACTTAATTTAAGGTTTTATCTCTAGAATATTTAGAATGATCCGAAAGCAGTCATAATCTTCAAATTAAAAACCTAGTGTATTTTATTTGCCATTTCAGCAGTTAATAACTATACGATCAAATTTCTTCCTGATTCTATGACAGCTCAGGTGAGAAAATTTTCTATTATTTCTTTTACCGTCTCCAGCACAGAGATTATACAATCATTGCAAGATTACAGATAAATATCGTATAGGTATAGAAAAGACAGAACTTCTTAGTCCTTCTAAAATGATCTATATGAAATCAAAGAGGCTAAATTTGTATCTCCTTTCATTCAAATGTAATGTTTTAGAGGTAATAGTAGTTTTCTTCTACCCTATGTCTCAGAAATGATAAATTTTAGCATTGGATTTGAGAACCTAGCTGGGTAATCTTCCTCGGGGAAAAGGTGTTTGAAAGTTTGGGAAGAATACCCTTCGCTAACAGTACAATAAAATTGAAACTTATTTCTTTCCTTCTTTCTTAAATACAAACAATGTTAACGCAAGAATGTTACACAGCTCTCCGACCACGCGAAGAATATATGTAGCACAATTAGAAAGTGCCCCTAACTGACTGTTTTGCTAACCTTGCCGGACTCAAAGGAGCCCCTCGGCCTTCCAGGTGACGCGCGCCCGGCACACCTTCCTCCCGCTCCAGAGCCCGGTTCCCTTCAGAAACTAGGCCATCCGCCGCTTCTCCTTCACTCGCCTTACAAAGTTACCGAGTCACTAACTTGACGTTTTAATTAAATAGATAGCACCCCTTGCTGCAGACAATTTATGAGGCTTATAAATTCGTGATTGTAAAGGACATGGCAATCTTGTGATGAAAGGCTCCCGTGAACTGATAAGTTATATTATTGTTATTTTTTATCTAGCAGTCTCAGTTCACCTGATTCTTTCTTATAAGTCATTCTATACTTAAAAAAAACAAGAATAGATGGCCAATTCAGATAACATCACCTCTTTTAAAGACTCTATAAATCAAGGCCAGTGAATGCTGTACAGTTTCAACCATAGCACCTTCTCCATGGCAGCTTTATATTAGAACATTAATAAAATTAATTCCTTTTTCATAAAAGCTCAGATTTGTAATTTACGATAACTGTTCACTGCGGGCAAAAAGATTAAAAATGGGTAAGCCAATACACCAACTAAAGTGCGTGTGTCCGGTTTTATTGGGTGAGTGGAGAGTTAGGAGAGGCTTTTAAAGCTAGTGCGATGTTATCGAGGACGGTATTCTCCATAGACTCAGCTACTGAAGGCTTCATTTTTACTTTCAGTAAATAAGAACTGCTCAGATTTACAGTCCTATTCACCAGTGAAATTATTTCTACTTGTTTAAGTAGAGCAATTAGAATAAGAAAATCAATACTAGTGGTTGTCCTTAATAGCAACTCATCTTAGTAATGATAGAGCTGTACAGTTATTTAAAGCAGCACAACAGCTTATTTGAATCTTATTAGAGTCCTACTGGCTAACACATGGACATTTGCCCGCGTGTCCTGGGAGAGTTACTCTACCTTCCTGTACCTCAATTTCCTCGTCAACAAAATCAACATGATATTGTTACCTGCTTCATTAAATGAATGGAGTGTTGAAGGAGTTGCCTGTAAAGCTCTTAGAACTGTGTCTTGCATGTGGTGAGTATTCAGTGGATGTTAGCTATGATTACTATGCTAGTAATACTGGTAGCAAGAGTGTTACCCAACAAAATAACATCTATCATTCAGGTAGAGTTTGCACCATCTTCTAAATATCAGAGATAAAAGGTGCAGTGACCAGAGGCTTTAACTGCTTTGTCGGTGCCCTAGAAGATTCTCACCCTGATTCCTGAGCAGATCTTACAACTCTGCCCCGGTGCTGTGCACATTGCGGCCACAGAAAGGACAGAAGTTGGGGTTCGTTATGTCTCTGGAAAATGCCTCTGCTTTAACTTACTTTTTGAACTAGAGAATCAGAATTTACTTATTTTGCTGAGATTTCATTTAAAAAAGCAGGATGAATAAAAATTACACATGGAATTTGCGATAGAAGTAACATAACAAAGATCTTTCGAATCTCTCCGAGGTTTTACCGGGATGGTTCCAGCACCCCACCCCCATCCCTGCTCCCTGACACGGTGCCCAGGAGTGAAGGGAGAATGTGACAGCAAGAAGCCAGAGATTTCACACTTGAGGAAAAACTAGTCATCTACTCGTTAGAATCTCCTGAGCTGGAACTCTCGACTATTCTTCATTTCATTCTTTAGAAAACAAGACAGAAAGAGAAATGAGGGAGGGAAAATTTTACCTGTGTACATACTGTATTGCCAAAATTTTAATTACTTTCTAGTATTAACAAATGCCTAGACATTCTCAGATGTCCAAACGAATCAAATGGGAGCTTATGAGAGCATGTATTTTCTGACTTTTTACATAATTAAGAAAAAATTATTAATTTTTTTAAAATTTAGTGGCCAAAATAGTTAGATATTAGTGGCAGATTGGAGAAATAATTTTCTTCTTTTATTTTTATGACATGATAATGCCAATTATATAATAGGTTGTTATTTCACAATGTAAGGAAATTTAGAAAATAATGGCTATATAGACTGTGTTATGGTATCAACTCATTCTGTAAGTTTAAGAAAGACATTTCTGTATTATATTTCATAAATGTGAGCTCCGTGTATAAGAATTACACATTTCCCTGTAAGAAAAACTGCTAGAGTGGTCTAATAACTGTGCTATAAAATATAAAATGCTATTTCTTTAAACTCTTAAAGCCGAAAACATCTATCAAGAGAAAAAAGTGGACAGAAATAGTAAAATTACTTCTAGGTTTACACAAAACAAATCATCCTTAGATGTTGTTTTTAATTATTGGCTTAAAATCATGCACACCTTCAATTATAGGAAGAAAAGCTCGTCACTCTTGTTGAGGAGGAAGAGAAAAATATAATAACAATGAAGGGTAAACGACATTAGTATAGAAGAACAAAAAGGATATCTTCTACTGTAGCTTTATAAAGATGGGACTGTAAAAGTAGTAATACCTGAAATGTCGGGGAAAACTGACCAAGGAACCTGGCTTTTCCCTTTGTTCTCTACTAAATTTTAAATAGTTTTATTAGCTCACGTTTGCAGTGAATGATTACCAATATCAAGAGGAATTCTCCGGGAACATTTAAGGCCCAGCTTCATGAGCACGCCTGGAGTCTAAGAATGTGTATGAACCAAAGTTCCACTCCTGGCCACACTAGGGACCGCATTCCGATGTGAAGGCTGCGCTCCTTAGTATCTTATACGGGTGTGTCTTTTTGTGTTATTAGACTAATTTTCCTATGACACGTAGTTCGTGCATGCAGCTCTTAACATTGGTGAGAACTTGTTTTAAGCAACTCTTAGCCAAAAACAAATGTTTGGGATTATGACAAGATGTAAAAGTCTTTTTAAGATCTAGGTAAAGTGCTCTGGCATAATTTATCTCTTCTTCAAACGGAAAAATTTGTGCTTATAATTTATTGTTGTGTTTAAACAAAGCTATTTACATTTAAAGACTTTAAAAGAGATATATAAACACTATCAACATTTTATTTTACTCAGTTCCTCAGATCAGAACACAAGTAGTCAAGAGATTCGTCCATCTAATTCTTCCTACTACTCTGATCCAAGGGAAACTCATACTCTTTCAGCTCTGTCAAGGGACAGAAGAACATTATATTCACGTTCAGATTCTGGAATATCATCCTTGGTAAAAAGTCTTCATTATCCCTTTACCTACAATATATGCTATCTTATGTTTAACATTTTAAAAATAATTTATGTATACCTCTTCCTCATTCCCTTCATTTATTATTGCTCATTTATCCCACTGGCTTAAGATGTGTTATTCATATTCCTGCTTTACAAATTATAGAAAATTAGTATTTGAAGCAAAATTACCACCTTTTATTCAACTTTCTATCCCCAGTGTCCGATGGACTGCCTGATCTCATAACTGGGGTAAAATATATATTTTTGATTGAATGCAAAGAAATGAAGCTTATTATTCTCTATATACAAACAAATAAACCAGAATATATATTTTAAAGGAATCTAGAGCTAGTAAGACTCTAGATTAGTTAAATGGCTCATTAAAATTAATAAGAGAAAAAGAACAGGGGAAAACACAAATATTCATTCTTCCTTTAGAAAGAAACATGTCATAACACATTGAAAACAAAGATGTACAATAGCTTGTTTTCCTACAAAATTAGATGTCAGATAAAAAATGAAACATTTACTCTCAAATAAAGCTTTAACTTAAATTCTTTTCTTTTTCCAGTACAAGTCCTATGAAATAGTACAAACAGGAAAAAGTGTGTAGCAGCCCCAGTGAATTTAACTTAAAAAATGTTTATTCTGTAATAGAAGAAAGAAAAGAAAAAGTCTACAAAGACAGCAAGTTAGGAAAGAAGCTTCTATAAAGATGTAAACTAAATAACCAGCAATAGATCTGATTGCTATATTCTGTAGTAATTGAAATATATTTGTTTATTAGTTGTTGTAAAACACAGTTTAAAAAGATAAGTAAACAATTTGAAATCTCACGAACAAATTCTCAGACTATCTCAAAAATACATCTATTAACTTCTAGAGTTACTGTTGATAAGCCAGAGAGCTTCTGTTGCTAGTTCTAGTTTTAAAATAAAGATAATGAGATATTTTTTGGAGCAATCAATGCCATTTAATAAGTACTATAGTTAAGATCTATGTTTACCTATGATTCAGAAATCAACCTCTTTCCTATTTACTTTGCTGGCAGCCTTGTCCCACTTCCGCTCCATGGCATGCACTAACTGCATGTATTGCACCATGAATAAAACGTTCTATGATTTCAGTGTCTGTAGGAATACTTGATAGCATGGACCAACAATGTACGTTAGCATACTAAGGTTCTGAGGGGTCTTTTTCCTGAAGGAAAAATGTTTAACCCAGAGCCTCTTAAGCTTATCTGATGGAAATAGTTTTTGTGTTTTTATGAGTTAGACAAATTTGTAGGTGAAAGAAAGCATAATCTATGTGGAGTCTAGTCAGTAAAATGAAGACAACTGCTTCAAATACTTTAATGACATTTCTTGAAATATTTTGGGTTGGTTTGTTTATACATGTGTGCAAAACTGACTAACAGAATTATGAATCTGTGGTATATGTAGGTATTTAATATAATATTCTTGTCAAGTAATATGACACGTTTATGTTAACTTTAACCATCATAAACTATATGAAATAGTGGGAATTTTGAGCAACTAAAACCTTAGTGTTCAAAAACAGTATAAAATTGCCCAAAATGTGATCTCAGTACATGTTTTGGGAGATAACATACCGTCCAGAACAAGACAGATAACTGGGCCTGAAATATTTAATTCAGTACTGGCTGCACATTTTAAAGCATGTTTATAAATTGGAACTCTTCCCAAGAACCACGAGGATATTTCATAATTTATAAACCAAGATCTGTAACAACTAAATGACTTAGGGAAAAGACGACAAATGTTACCAAGCCCATGTTTGCACACCCGTGTTTACAGCAGTACAATTCATAACAGCTGAATTTTGGAGGTAGGCTGTCTGTCCGTCACCAGATGAACAGACAAAGAAAATGTGGTTTTTGCACACAATATCATACTACTCTGCCATAAAGAAAGATAAACTTGAATCATTTGCAGGAAAATGGTTGTAACTTGAGACCATAACATTAAGTGCAATAAATTAGACAACAACCTTCAACATTGCACGGTTTCTCTCACATGAGAAACCCAAATTATAAATAGAGAGCAAAATAGAAGATAGATAATGGGAAGTAGGGAGATAGAGCTTTCTCAACTCTACCAGGAGAAGGAGATCAAGAGCTGAAGGGTGAGGGGGAAGGAGGGAGAGAAAGGGGATGGAAAACATATTAAGATATTTTATATATGTGTACCAACTCCATGTGAGTATAAACTTTATGTACTGTACTGCAAACATGTACTACTAAAAATAAAAGTAAATAAATAAAATAGTAATCACATATAGAAGGATTATTTTGCGTCGACTTACAAGGGCAGACCTTGCAAAACTGGAGAAAGACCAAAGATTTATAATAATGAAGCAGACCCACACAGTGAAGATATCAATTAGAGCTACTCTAAAATGGAATGAGATGCCTTATGAAATATTCAATTAATACTAAAGGGTGATTTATCAGAGCTTCTGTAAGTACAGTAATAATGCAGCATATACTTAGCTATGTCATTTAGCATCAAACATACATCAGTTGTAGGCACTGAGAATACAGTATTAAATAGGAACATATAATTTAGAATGGACTAAGATGATTTTCATAAGCACATCACTGAATATTTGGAATCAGATTTGCCTGAATATTTGGCATGGATTCACATTGCCTTTACCCAGAGAAGTAAATAAATTACATATTGCCTGATGATACTTTTCTTCTTTCTTATTTAAAGCTTCCGTCAGATTCTTGCAAGCACCTCACTTGGCATGAGGTAGAGCAACATGACGTTCAAGGAAGTCAGCTGCGTTGCCCAAGAGTAAGAGAAGGTAAAATAACAAATGTGCATATTCTTTGTGTACATGCTCTGAGAAGCTTTATTTTATTTTATGGATTAAAACACATTACCTAAAAGTAGAAAATATTCTTTCTTTATTACCATGGGGCTGATACAGTAAAATCATTAAATATTCCTGTAGAGGAATATTCTTAAAACTGACTACATAAATAATCAATATTCTATACTAAATATGAAAAACTCAAAAGATAGAAATCTATAAACTAAAACTAGTTAAAATAACTGCTATGCATTTTAGTTCCTTTGTCTTAAAATAGACACACGCCATGACACACATATTTCAATGTCTGTAACATAATTGCCTGATCCATTAGAAGGATGTTATACTTATGAGACTTACAGGGAAAACAGGACCCTTACATGTCAGCATATTGCACTAGGGCAAAGTACACTATCACTATCAGAGAGGTAAAAGGGGAACTTGGATGATATTCAGCATTTCACAGCAACCCAGTACCCTAGAACACGCTATCAAGAGAAGGTTGTGCCAAAGAAAGACTGATATAAAAGTGGACAAGATATTCAATCTAACATATTTGCAAATTTCAGCATAGAAATAAAATATGAAAAAACAAAGAAACATGAGTCCTTCAGACATGTCTCATTCTGTAATTTCTGACTTCAGTGACTGAAGTAGATGAGAACCCAGATATAGAATTAAAAATGATCATTCTTTTTTAAAAAATCAATAAATTCCAAGACAATACAGGAAAATCTCTGCATGAATTAAAGATGAGAGTACAGAGAAGGAATGAAAAAATTCCATAAAGTGATAGAGATTGTGAAAAATAGCAAAACAGAAATCTTTCAAAGGAAAATCTCAATAAGTCAAATAAAAATATCAGTGGAAAGTGTCACAAATAGACTAGATTAAATGGGAGGAAGATTTCAGAGCTTGGAAAGAGTTGATTTACTCAGATAGTAATAAAGAATAAGAAATTATGCACATAGCATACATGAGCAGGTTCAAAATTAAAAGACCATATCATGAATTTGGGAACTATGGGTGCCAAGAAAATCCATTTACATTTATTTTTACAGAAAATCTATTCAGTAAAATAGTAAAAAATTTCCCAGATCTTGAAAGTTACACACACCCAGGCACAGGAGCCTTTTAGAGTCCCAAAGAGACATGACTAGAAAATAACTTGCACACATCATAGAATAGTTAAAAGGAAAAGAGTACAAAACAAAAAAATTATATTGCAAGCTAAAAGATAGAAACACCAAGCCATCTATGAAGGCAAATTCATCGGAATAACAGCAGCTTAATTAGCGCACACTCTAGATGCCAGAAGGGCATGGAATGATGTGTCTGAAGATATTCAAGCAAATAAATCCCCCCTAGATTAATATATCTAGAAAAGTTTTCCTCAAAATGAAGGAGAAATAAACACCTTCAAGTAAACTAGAAATAATTTATGTCCACTAAGCCAACATTGCAGAAGTTATGTAAAGGAATCCTATGTACAGAGAAAAAGAATGGAAAAGCAAGTGAGAATTCAGAAAGAATCAAATAAAAAGCCAATGAAATGACAAGAATTAGCACAAGCCTTTCTACAATAATCCTGAATATAAATGGTATACTTTCCCAATTAAAAGACACAGACTGCAAGAGAAATACACCTTAATGACAAAGATATTCACAGACTGAAAGCAAAAGGATGGCATATGAGATTACATACAACTGAAATTGTTTAAAAAGCAGGAATAGTTATATTAATACCCAACAGAGCAGACTTCAAGGTAAATTCAGTCAGAAGAAACAGAGAAGGTCACCATATATTGGTAAAGGGGAAAATCCACCAAGAAGATATAATAATTGAAAATATACAGGCTCCAACAATGGCACATTGAATTTCATAAAATAAACTACTCTACATAAAAGGAAAGATAGACCCCAATTCTGTAATAGTAGGGGATTTCAATTCCACACTCCCACAAATAGAAAAATCAACCAGACAAAAAAAAACAACAAAGAAACTTCAGAGTTAAGTAAGCTACACTATAAAACAAATGAACTTACACACATCTATAAAATAGTCCATTCAACAAATGCAGCTCATGGCATGTTTTCCAAAGTATATCATATTTTAGGTCATAAAAATAAGTCTTAACAATATAAAAAATGAAGTAATTTCTTGCATCTTATCAGATATTGATGGAATGAGACTAGAAATTAACAAGAGAAACTACACAAAATATACAAACCATGAGATTGAACAATACCCATTTGAATGATTAGTGGGTCACTGAAGGAATTAGAGATGAAACTTTATAATACTAGAATCAGTATTCTAGAATCAGGAAAATGGAAACACAACATACCAAAATTTGTAGAAAACAGTGAAGGTAGCTCTAACAGAGATATTTATGGCTATTAGTGCCCACATCAAAACACCAGAGATATTTCAAATAAATAACCTAATAATCTGTCTCAAGGTCTTAGGAAACAAAAACAAGTCAAACCTAAAAATTGTAGGAGAAAAGAAAAATAATTATGAGAGCCAAAATTAACAAAAAAGATTAAAAGAACATTACAAAAGATCAATGAAGAGAGTTGTTTCTTTACAAGATAAATGTAATTGATAAACCCTTAAGGAAGCTAACCAAAAGAAATAAAAGCCTAAAATAACAAAATCAGAGATGAAAAGGGAGATATAAAACCTATTATTGAAATCCGGAGGATCCTTAAGGACTACTTTGAAAGCATACTCATATACATTGGAAAATATAGAGGTACTGATAAATTTCTACATGCATACAACCTATCAAAATTAAATCAAGAGAATATAAAAAACTAAAGGTATCAATAACATGAAATTAGATTGAGGCAGCAGTAATAGGTCACCTAACAAGTAAAATGTTGGATTTGTGATATTAACTGCTGCAGTTTGCCCGACCTTTAAAGAAGAGCTAATGTCAGTGCTCCTCAAACTATTTTATGAAATAGAGTGTTTCTGAACACATATTACACAGCAAGTATCACCCTGATACCAAAACTGGGCACCACAAAAAACCCTATAGACTAATATCCTTGATGAACATAAACACAAACATCTTCAATATTGCAAACTAAATGGACAAACACATTCACAAGATTATATGCCATGATCAAATTAGTTTAATTCCAGGAATAAAAATCAATAAATGTAATACACCATGTAAGTAGAGGCAAGGATAAAAATCAAATGATTATCTCAATTGATGCAGGAAAAAAACCCTTTTGACAAAATTCAACATCACTACATCCTAAAAACCTTGAAGAAATTGCGTACAGAAAGAGCTCACCAGGGAATTCTGGGAAGATGGTGGACTTGTGAGCAACAGACAAAAAGCCTCTTTGAGATTTGATGTCTCCAGATCCTGGAATACAGCAGTGCAGAGGAGAAGGAAGGAAGGTGGTCTCTGGGGCACAGAAAGGATCTGAAGTGAGAATCGAAGCCCATGAGGAGAACGAAAAGAGAGATTTCAGTGAAGAAGTAGGAGGCGGCAGGCAGCGCTTTCTCCCTGGATCCAGACTCACTGCACGGGAGTGGCAGCTCGAACCTTCAGAAGCTTTGTGATTACCGGTAACCTCAGAGGTCTCCATGGAGAAACACACGAGTAAATCAGAGCAGAGGATGCAGTGTGCAGCAGTGGTCTGCAGTAAGTTATTTGGGTTCTGACGGCCCCCGGGAGAGGGAAATTGGCCAATAACCATCTTGGAGAGGGCCGACTGAGCTCAGAACTCATAACAGCTGCTGCTGTGACTGGGCCTGCTGCATCTAATGGCTTCAAGTGACAGGGTCAGGGAGCCACGTTCAAGCTGGGAGGAGGTACGCAGACTGCAGCAGGCTGAACAAATCTGGCTCCAGCCTCACAGCCAAAACCAGCCTGAACTTCAGTGGAATTAATGGTACAGGCTCACTGGGATGGTCTACTACCTCAGCATGAAGCTAGAGTTGACTTGCCAGGGTTAATCAACTAAGATCTGGCCTCTGTCTGCCCACATTGTCTACCAATGACAGCAGAGATATCCCTTGAAGTGGACTTTTTTTTCCTTATTTTCTCTTTCCTTATTTTTGTTTTGTTTTTTCTAGTGTTTATGAATATGAACATAGTTTCTAGTTTTGGTGTTGTTGTTCTGTTTTGTTCTTGTTTTTATTTCTTCTTTCTCTTTTCCTCCTGTATTCATCAGTTTCCCAAAATTTACATGATCTTCTTTTGTCCTCCAGCATTCTAAGCTCTTCCTCTTCTTCAATTTCTCTACTTTTCCCCCTGACCTCTTTAAAATTTTCTCTGAGGGTAAAATTGGTATATTTACTACATATAATTTTCTGATTCATTGTAGATTTGTTATATAACCACAAATCTAGTACATATGGTTAAAGGTGGCAAATTAATAGTTGCCTGAGTTTCTCAGTGTTTGATGTTACTGATATTACTGATTGTATCATTTTAGCCAAAATGACATAACTGTTCTAATCAGTTGTTCTTCCTGGTATACCAAGACTGAGATTGGTGAAGGGTCATAAAAAATACTATAGGCAAGTGCCAAATAACCAGGAGGTGGGCCAAATAGGCAGCACTTTCTCATCCTCAATAAATTGAAGAGGTAGGATCCTGCAACAAATTCAAAATCCAAAAGCCAGCTATACCTGGAAGACATGTCTAAGAAGTAGTCATTTCCTAAGGGTTTGAAATACTAGTAATAAAGCTACTGACCATGGGCAATTTATAAGCATCAACTCAGGAATTAACCTTAAAAATAGAAAATGAGAAGACACTTAAACAAAATGCAACCACAGATTTCCAGGTCACCGAAGGCAAACCCAGGGGGCAATGAGGTGGGACAATGTGAAAGCTACAACCTGACCTCGCTGAAGGGTAACAGCAAAAGTAACAGATGAACAAGGCTCTAGAAAAGAATCAAATCAGAAATAATTTATCAGATAACTACAAGATGGCGACCACAGTGAAAGACATGCT